CAACTGATGATATTTCTCATTGTTCTGTCCCTAATACACAATATGGTTCTGTTTAATTACGTCTTCTAACATGAAACCAAGAGCTATGATCCCCTAAGATTACCATACGGTTTTGAGTAACATCATACAAGAATGACTGATGAATATAGCACTCAGCAGGAATATAAAAACTACAAAAAAGCAAAAATTGAAAAAATGCATCAATATACCTTCCGGTAGACTCAGTAATGTTGGATTCTCGGACATCAACTGAAATAATCTATTTACTTAAGCTGACGAATTTTCTGGATTATCATTTCAGTTTCACATCGTGAAACATCTTCAGATAATAAAATATAATTCTAAATGAACACAAAATATAGATTCCCTTGGATGTCCACTCAAAAATAATATTATAGCTGAAAGAATATGGAAAAAGATACCAACCGAATAAAATGTTTACAAAACCTTCAAGTGTATAAAACTTACACTTATTGCAAGCTTCATAACACAGATCACATTCTTCATATTTGGCTGCATTGATTCCAGGAACGGGAACGACGTCTTCAGTACACGCATATCGTTCGCAAAATCGAAACCTGCAAGCACTCAACACTCACCATCACCCATTATCATTATCCCTATTGTCCATCTAATTCACTCTATCCAAATCTTCCTATGTATTCAAACGTTTGCTGTAAAAAACTAATTTAATTCGAAACTCGCTAAATTCTTATAACTCCGTAGGTCTTCCTAGACCAAGATCTCAACCCATTTCCCAAAAAAATTAAATCTCTACAAAAAATAATTAAGTATTATGAGATATCAATTCAACTCAAAATTTGGAATGTCCTTCATTATATCACTGCCAACGCTTATACCCAAAATAATTTCGACAAATCGATTCAAATAAAACAGTTTCAATGAGAGCCTCAATGGGAATGACGACGAACTCACCTAATTTAATATTCGATTCCCTACAAAACAACGCCTCAAAGAATTCTGTCCACTGTTCTTGTGACACCTCTTGCTCCAGTTTTATCACATCCACCAGATAACTGCACGTATGAATTGAGATTTGCAATAGTGCTACCTGAACATACCAACGAACTTATAATTTTCTCACCGCGACATGAATCACGTTTTTCTGTTTATAAACTTCCGCAACTGAACAAAACTCATTTCATCAACTCCTAAGTTTCAATAAACGTTGGACAAATAAAAACCGAGCTATTGAACCCCAACCATTCAAATATTCATTCACACTCTTCAAGCGACCGAGAATTTTCGACATGACCTCTTTAATTCACTGATTTCTAATTCAGATTTCTGATGTATAACTTACATTCCATAAATTTAACTCCTCTAATTCATCTAAATAATAACTGAAAAACTGTAAAAAAGCAACCTTCTCAACTGTTGACATGAACATTGGTTTCCACTCAGAGTCGATACCCACGATTGTCGCCTGGTCAAGTACCGGAATAAGTTCTAACAAGCCAGCGACCGTATCGACCATCAAAACGGGATGATTCTCGAACAGATTTACGCTTACCGGATCTCGTGAGCATTTCCTCATCCTGAATACAACTTCCCTTTCGTTCCTGTTTCTAGCTGCTGAATGCACATTACCTCAAACTATCCCCTATCCAAATCATCCAAAAACAAATACTTTCATACATCATTACGACAAAGAAATTACTCATGAACAATTCACGCTGAGGACAAAAACGATCACACTGCTTAAAATGAAACGAATATTTCTAATTTCTGCGCCAAGCTTACGATTGGGATGACAAATAAACTTGTCTGGTCAGATTGTACCCTTAGTACTATCATACCCTCAGATTTTACACTTAGAAAATAACTTTGTTTAGTCAAATCGCACTCTATCATAGATCAACTATCACATCTTCAAACAGTTCTATCATAAACAACACCATTTTTACTATTGATACGTTTAGCATTTCTATTACCAAATGGTCGTTAACATGTCATTTTTATACTACTTATGACCAGTAAACAGATAGCATAAATTTAGCTTTACATAACTTGAATTCCAAACAGTTTTGTCATTACATACTGAAAAATCCTACTGATTCAGTATCATTTAATGAATCAAGAGAATTTTCGACTGAATATTTGCTCACTTTGATATTTTATCTTCAGCTTCACGAATTTTCGTCTCTGTTAACAATTCCTGAACTGAATACGGCACATCACGTTTATCCATTTTACAATAAACTACCCATCGTATTGCATCATCTTGTCGACCAACTCTATTCAAATATTTCACCATATAACGTTGCAGATGCCGATCATCTTTGAGCGCTTGCTAAAATTCACTCCCGTTACTCCATTTTCACACAGCCAGTTGGATGAAATAATAACCTAGTAGGGTATACACGATACCAGAAACTTGCGACTGAATGTCACAAAACTCAGAACTGTTCAAAAGTATGAAAACTTCTAAAATTTGCAAAACGACAAGCACATGAAATGATAGAACAATACGAAAAGTTCAAGCGATACAACCTTTCGAAAACCAAATTAATCTGAATT